GTTAGTAAAATTACTAAAAAAAATTAAGTCAAAAGCGCGTCCTAATTAGGTGTTAGAGGAACAATTTCACCCTCAAGATTGACCCCATGCTTGTCTCCATTAAAAAGTAACGTCAATGGTTCTTTCATTGCTCTAATTTTAACCATTATCAGGTTGAAGACTGGATTCTAAATAGTTCAAACAGAAAGAACTATAAAAGCACGTATGAATTTTCTTGAACTTTCCATTCAAAGTAAATTTATTGAATGAACAAAAATATTAAAAGGTAACTTAATAAGTTCCTTAAGTCTCAGTGAATCGGTACTCTGCGATTTTGAAAAGCTTTCTCGAAGTTGCGCAATTACAAATCGGTTCTGAACGTCCGAGTTCGCGAGTATTTTCGCCTTAACTATGGACTTGGAAGTTGGCTAGTTGTCAGAACCAACTTCGAGGATTTATCTCATGGGAGTCCATTAAACATCTTTTCAATGTTAGAATCGATTCATCAAAGATTTTTTTTTATTCTAAACTAAACCAAATGTCTCTTCCATCTTGTTATATCCTTAATGCGTCAACAAATCAGTCTTAAAATTTAAATATAAAAAAAATAATTTAAAAAGGAACGAATTTCCTCCTACCCTCATAGATAAAACCAAATTTTTCTACTAACTGTGAGTTTAGATTATAGTAATCAAAACCATTTACAAAATAAATCAAACAAGCTTTTTCCTGAAATAGGCTTTAGCGTTGCAATTCTTCAATTCGGAAACATATTGTTGTTGCTTTTGTCTTAAATGGCACGCGAAGCAATTCAGGAATACAAAGTAACCCAATTCCTTGCGATATAGGTCACCTGAAAAACATTCAACTATTGTTATGTCTGGTTCTGCTTTTATATTCAAATATTGTATTTTATTTAAAACTATAGTAGTGGTTTCAGAATCAGATCAGTTATTAATAACTGTTGGTGGCTTGCAATGATATTTACTGTAAAAATTAAAAGTTACAAGCGTTGTGTAAAATTGTATTTATTCTTATTAAAACACCCACCACACCATACATTTATATACATTTGTTTTAATCTTCTCATTGCAGATCACTCAATCATTTTGTTAGAAAAGTTGGTTTTTCCTTTTTTTCTATAGAAATAAAAATTACATATTTTAATACACTAGGTACTGACCTGGTAAACGTCCTTTTACATTGTAGTAAAAGTATTTTGACTAAATTTATTTTACAAGATATACAACATAGAGCCCAAACTCGAATCTTATAAAACAAAAAAACAAATCAAAAAAAAAAAAAAAACCCCCCCCTTTAAAAAAAAAAAAAAAAAAAAAAAAAATTTTTTTGTGGTGTGTTTTTAAAGAGGGGGGCCCAACTCCGGATTTTTAAAAAAAAAAAAAAACAGTGAGACGGATAACGAAACGTGTTTGCCGAATTTTACACAAAGATAAATACATATTAGTCACAAGCTAAGTTTTAGTTAAATGTGATCTTCTTTAAGCGCGACTTTTCCACAATCGCACACTGGCCACAGAGTAAAGTAATCCGCTTAGAGGGCGCCATTAAGCGATAATTATTACGACTGACCCCAGAATTGACCCTTTTTATGAATTATCATGCGTCCTGTCAAACGATCCCTCGTTAGAAGAAAGTGTTATTACTCTGTGGCGATAATAAGTAATTTAGACTTATTGTAGTTAATGTTATGAAGCGAAAGTTTCTAATTTGAATTTACCTTTTCTATAGTTTCTTGGTGGAATGATGACAATTGACACTATTATTTTTTTCCGTAAACTATACAACTTATGATTTTTTATTACAAAAGAACCAACGTCCCAGAAATTTCTGACTGAACCTCAAACTCAAGGTTGTTTCATTTTTGATGGTGGTTCGTGACTCCGCAATTTTTTTTTTCGTATGACCATAACCCACCTAAATAATATAAATAAATTATAATCCTATGAGCAACAAAGTAAGTACGTTCGTTTCCCTCCATGGGGCTGAGGGCTAACAAATTTCTGTGCCCTTTTCACCGGTTACTTACAAGCAAGTAGTCTGACTTGTGTACCTTACCCGACCGAAACAATACATTGTTCTGGAAGCCGAACCCAGGTACTATTTTTACACTTAACACAATGCTAGGCAGTAGGCACTACAGAGGTCATAAGTAAATAGTAAAGAACTAATTGTTTCTTATAGTTTAAAACCATCATTTATATAAATATTTTCTTACAATATTAAATACACGTCTAGATAGATGTAATCCAGTACTCGATCCTCTGCCGGCTACGCTGCCAAGTCGTTTCGGCGTTTTTAAACTCGATACAAACGCAATCTTCACACAAAACGATTTTATTTGACGTGTAGTCTCGTACTTGTTCTATGTAAATGTAATCTTTTGTGTGTATTGAAATTTTTGAAACGACGCTTTTGATATAACGCTCCTTTCAAATGGAAGATTTATAGGCAATGTCTTTATTGAGACATGTGTTTCGATTTTTCATATGCAATATTTTAGTTGAAGATTTAAATACGGTTTCTATACTATGTCAAAGGTTACAATACGTTTTTTAATGATTTATTTGACACGATATATATTCCAAAGTGAAAACCGTTTTTTCTTGGATCAGACATTTCTGTGTCTGTTGGATTGCTCGACTTCTATTTCAACTTGTGCCCAGCCCGACCGATACTATAAGTTTCACACTGAGCTGGGATAATTTAAATAAGACACTTTTTTTTCCAATAAGTTAACTAATACATTTCACGTTTAAACCGTTATAATTGTTCATTTAAATGTATACTACTCGCGTAAACTACAGACACTCCTCTAATTTTAAATAATTTCATATTCTTATTCTGTTTGTTTGACTCAAACATCAATTGAACTAAAAAATACGATCATTTAAAGTAAAGAGTCGTGTATAGAATTTTAAATCAGAGAGTAAAAGCACGCCGTAAAGGTATGTAACAGCATGTCTGTGCGCATGAATGGTGTTTAATTTAAACAAAAAAGCGGATAAACAAGTCAACGTTATGAATCAGCCAGGTGCAAGTTTTTCGGTACGAGCGCCAACCTGATATCGTGTGGGGCAATTGATAAGAACCAGCGTTTTTGTAAATTAAAAGAGACTTTTATGATAGAAAATTCATTTTTGGCCTTGGGTATTCGGGAATCCACAGACACGAACCGAAACGCAATTAAACTTGACTGCTTTTTATTTGTGGATCGTCCACGCTGGGTTCGTGACCCGGACGGAATTTCGATATTCCTACCACCCATTTTATATCCAGATTTCTAGACGAAGTCCAACATGTTTCAAGAAAATTATAAATTAATTAGAAAAATTTTGGACCTGGTGTAGATCGAACCCACGACCCGTTCATATAAAAAAAAAAACAAATATATTCTCACATTTTTCTTTTATATCTAATAACTTATAAATTTGTATTTACTCAAACAACGAGAAAAAAGACTACCGACTTTAAAAATGTATTACTAAGTATTTATAACTTTAATAACTCCCTTGAAACGCAGTTTCTATTTTAAAGATTGTAATAATGACGTGGCGCAGACAATTTTTCCCACGCTGAATGATATTCAATATTATCATTGAATTATGGAGCACGCAATCGCAGGTACCGCGTTCCAGACCGCAAATTCTTGCGTAAACTTCGCGCTCTAGTCCGGACCCTTTCGAAGTATTTAACCCTATCGACCCCTCATCTTGTGAGTGATGACCCATGTGACCCCACCATACAATATATCTTCGGTTGTAAATGAGGATCGCTATCTACAACTTAGCTGATTACACTGCGTGCGTTCTGAAACGAACTGCAAATATATCCAAAGCCAGGCCCTGTCGCATCTTATCTGTCATCCTCTATCATAAGAAATAAACAATAGCCCATTCTTTGTAACTAATTAATTATTTACCAATAACCAACATTAACTTATCGGGTTCTGTATATCTGTAGTTTACGCAAGTAGTACACGTTATAAAATTCTTTTAACGGTTCGAAACGAAAGGTATTAGTTACTCTTACGCCCCGACGTATCGAACCACCATGACTACAGCTGCTGCAAAGCACCTGTTGTTAAAATAAATTCTAAATAAGTATACTAACCATTTCGCGATTTAAACCCGTTAAAAGTGTTTAATTTAAATGAATGCCGTATGATTAATTTTTATTTTAATAATTGCTAATTATTAAAGATTCGCAGTTACAAAAATCGACAATTTAATAATTTCATATAAGAACTCAACTCTTTATTACATTATCGATGTGTTATCTGTGGAAACCAAATGTAACACCGACGATGTATTTAAATCCAGTTAAATTAAACAGATACTGTACGTCGTTAACTGTGTACTTGTCATCAAAAGCTCAAAAGGATCTGACCTAATTTAAACAAGTTGTACTTAATGACGAATCAGATATTTCCCTCTCGCTAGCCCGTTTAAGTCTGAAAAAGCAAAGTTTTCGCGAAAGTAGCGAAATTAAACCTTTTTCCTCTGTTTACAGAAAAACTGCAGGTTAAATACGAATGAACGTTCTACTGAAACTTTTTATTTTATGTTTACTGCGCTAGTTTCAAACACGGTTAAATAATGAATGTGCTTCTAAGTGTAGAAACGGTGAATTTTGACTGAAAGGTACTTTTATGTTACTTACACTTACTTATTCTGCACTAACTGTGACCATTATATAAGACTTATATAAGTAAAAATAAGGCTGCTAGAGGCAGAGTGGCCTAATAACAAAAAACTAGATTTTCAATAAGGAGGAAAATAAAAATGCGCAATTAACTTAGACGAAAATGAATTTGTACTATTATTTGTGTTACGAATTATGTTAACAATTTTCGGTCAATGTGCTCTGAGACTAACATTTTTAGCCTATGAAAATAACTCAAGTCATAAAATTGCAGTTAGGGCTTCTCAGCCTCTAGCGGCTTCATATATAGTAAGAAAATGCATTTTTCGTGGCAACTTATAGTATTTTTTTTACAGGTACACAATACATTGGTATTATAGTGTCGTCTCAACTATGTGAGGTAAGAATTTATTTCGTCAATTCAATATTGTAATATTTATTAAATTTTATTATGTTTTGGTTTTACAATGCATTGTGGAAAACCCCCTCCTTTTTGTAGTTGCTTTTCCCCGCCGCCCTGGTCACAGGAGTTCTACCTCTTGTGATTTAGACAAGTGTAACATAGGGTTTTAATTAAAGATAAATTAAATAATATACTTTGCGTTTTAAATACGTTAAATACGTACCTCTCGGGTAAACTACTGGCAATACCCAACTACGAAAACCGCTCCCTCCTGTTTGCTTATTACCACAGTCGTGGCCACAAGGGCACCCGGTGTTGAACCTGTAGTGTTTTAGACAATTGTAGCATGTTCTAGTTTGAAAATAATTTTAATAATTTACTAAATACTGTCTATAGTTTACGCGAGTAGTACACATTTAAATAAAACACTTTAACGGTTTAAAACGCGATATATTAGTTAAACTTATTTGAAAATGATTTCCAACTTCGGCCCGACGTTCACAGTCTCCCCCGTGACCACGGCTGCTGCAAAGCATCCGAAACGTCGGGCCGAAGTTGGAAATCATTTTCAAATCAGTTTAACTAATATATCGCGTTTTAAATTGTTAAAGTGTTTTATTTAAATAATTTTTACTGATATGTTTCGCGTTTTGAACCGTTAAATGTGTAGGTACCACGCGGGCTACACTACAGAACTATTTATAATCAACTGGACCCTATTCAGCATAAAACCGATTCTTTTAATATTCGTAAAGGCGTTTTGCGTAACATAAAGACTAGAGGCGATGACAGAAAAAGCCCCAATGGCGAATGAAAATCCCTTCTAAGAACACTTCGCATAATGCTCCGCTGTTTGTTCTCGCATTGATATTCCAATTGCACTTGCCGTGTAGTAAAAATCAGGTGAACGAAAAGTTTTAAAAGATTTATTCAAACACCAGAGGCGCGTCACCTACTTTACACTCTAATTCTATTAATAAATATTTTAATTTGATAAAGGTCATAATTAAACATTTAAATAAAACAGTTGAACAGTTAAAAGTTTTTTGTTTTAATGTTGAACAGATTTGACATTATTATAATTTCGGTGCGTGTACTACTTGCGCAAAAGCAGACACTATTTCATCCTTACACACATACAGCTTTAACTACCCTTCACAGTACGAGACGCGGTAGTTTAAATGGGTAGATTATTTTTTTAAATTACAGTCTATTAATTCGCTTTTTACATAAATATAACTTGTACAACTTTAAAATAAGTCATCGAATCTATGTCATGTCTAAAAATCTGGACCCGTTCTCTATATTTCTAATTAGAACATTTCGTTATTGCAATCGGCTTACGATTAAAAGCATTTCGCATCCGTTGCTTCAGTTTTAATTGAGTTTATTGAGAAATTGGGTCGCGGCAGTATCTTCGTATTCATTTGATAATAACTTGCTAATAGCATTAACCTGGATTACGCGGCAAGGTTACTGTGACTAACAAAAATAACACTGTATAAGTATACTGTCTAATAAAGGCGGTACGCGTATGAAAAAGAGAGTAGGTAAGCCGACGTTCGGTTAAATTTAACCTCGGCATTCGGCCTAAACATTACTTCGGATAAACTCAGAACGGTATCTTTATATTCTCCTTATTGCATTTGTAATCGTAAGGGTAAAGATTAGTTATACATATGGTGAAGTGTTATATTTTCCTTTTTATCTTTATGATATAAATTATTAGCGTATGAGAGCCAAAACGTAACTTTTCATATCAACCGAATGTTCGGCCTATTAAGTTTCGGTTGACCCTCTGTAACTCAAAAATCCATACACAACCATCTTGCATTTATATAATGCAATTAGTGAACGCGCATTTTATTTACAAATAATTAAATTAAAATTGTGATAAAAGTTTGACATCAACCTATTTAATAAATTTCAAAAGATTTTTTCTTTTATCTTTCTAGATTAGTTTAAAATCTAGAAAGATAAAAGAAAAAATATCGAGACTGACACTAATTAAAATAATGAACCATAGCGCAATTAACGTTCAATATCGTTTGGCAATATTAAAGCAGGACTAGAAAAATAGTTTTATTTCGAAATAAATGAAATTCAGGTCACGTATACAGTATTAAAATAATTAAAAGAGTAAATTGGCGGAGGCTTTGTACGTGGCTATGGAGGCCCTCGACCTACTTCCTGTGACTTAATAAAATATCTGATGATTTCAGTTTCTGCGTTTTCAGTTGCTTTAATTAGTTTATAGAGCACCTGGATACGACATAAAAGGCCCGGTTTCGAGGACCACTTTCATTACACGATATAAAAAGAATTTTACCGCTTCCGTCAGCTGTATATCCCTTTCGCTATCTTTCGGTTCGTTTATGTTATTTGGAAAACTGGAGATATCTACGTGAATTCATATTTAAGACTAGTTGTGTCAGCGACTTCGTTCGCGTAGAATAGTTGTTTTGGGCATTCAAATTTGTTTTTGAAAACTCTTCGTCACTGTAATTTTAAACTACTCAGTTCAAACAAACAAACACTTCGGCTTTCTATATTAGTATAGATTAATCTTCTTCATTCACTATAAATTTCCTAAAGAAATATTTTGACAGTCTTGTTTGTCTTAGAAAAACGTCGCTACTAATTAACGGGTCCTGGGTTTGATGCCCACCGGATCAAACATGTCATCCATTTATAATCTAGGTATTATATACGTGACGTCACGAGCCATTGTCCATAAGTGGCGTTAACAAAAGACGTGAAATTTAATTATTTATTATTAACATAATTGATTAAACTTAATTAAATAAACCAACAGCACGTGCTAGCCATGGACTTGCCATTGCAACATAATGATTACTGTTTCATAAACAAAGGGACGTTGCGTGAATTATTTCATAATTCTGCGCACACACATCTCGTGACTGGAATATAATGGCTAATATTTATTACAGACATATGTTATATTTTCGCCATCGAATATACATTTATTAACTCAGTAAAACTTAAAAAACGAATAATTTAGATTTGTCAGTACGCTTCTACATAAAACTTTTGACAGTTTAAAACGCGAAAAAACAATTTTATTTTACTACGGCCCAAAGCTTTGGATGCTTTGTTGCAGCCTTGATCTGGAGGGGCTGAAGATGAAGGTTGTTCTTAATGTCATAGTCAAAACTGCTACGCTAGCGCCGTATGTCGTAGGTGGTATTTGATACCTACTTTCTCTAAATACCAACTACAAAGAGTTTTATATTTTTACATTACTTATTTCCTGTTGGTTTTGATTCACGTGAACCTCTCGACAAATATATGGCGTCTAGGAATTTAACTTAAAATCGATTGTTGCAAATAGTATTGAGGTATCGTCGGTTGAAACTTTGTTGTTGGTCCGCGTGTCTAAAACGTTGTTTGTTCCCAACTGCGCCTGATATACCGAAACCTTTGTAGAAGTTTTATTTATATATGCCGAGTTTATTCCGTAAGTTTGAACTATTTCATGCTTTGTTTCGGGTTCGATGCAAAGATATCCGGTTACGTTTAGATCATTTGATGCGTACTAGTTTTTTTATCATTAATTTAGAAGCTAAAGATTTTTTTTTGATAATCCTAAGTACTAAACAAGGATTTAGGACACTTTTACGACTTGTTGACGATAGTTCACGAACCGGATCACTGAAATATTTAGACGGTTATGTTAAATACTGTCTGTAGTTTACTCGAGTATTACACATTTTAATATGACACTTTACCTGTTTAAAACACGGCGTCGGGCCGTATTTAAGATAATTTCCAAAAAAAGTTTAACTAATATACATCGCGTTTTAAACCGTTCAATTGTTTTATTTAATTAGAGGGTTACTTATATTTTTTGGCAGACGGTGAATTAGAAAAATATTTTTTAAAAACATTCTTATTATCTATGCATACACTGCTACCAACTAACAGCCTCTGTAGCCAAATGGTTAAATGTATTAGCTTCCTGGGTTTGAATCCCAGGGAAACATACAATTGTTTTGGTCAGGCAGGGCACAGAAATCTGATCAACTAAAAAAAACTTGCCCGTTAAAAAAACGGATCAGTGAAACGGACACAGAATTGTGTTCTTGGGACTGGTCCTACGAGGGGGAAACGGACTTTCACTTTAAACACTTCTATTGGAACAACAAGCCTGTGAAAAGCATCTGATAAATTTTGCTTTGAAAATAATTATTTACGGGCGAAGATGAGAAAGTATTTCTATAGTCGAGCAGTAGAAACGAGTCTCTGAGACCGGATTAAATGCACCACCTGCATATTGAGTTACGTCTGGCCTGTACATACCGGCATCGTCTTATCAATTCTCATTTGTTGGAGTACTAAATATACTACATTTGTTTAATCAAAGTTATTTCTTAGGAAAGAAAAATAACCTAGTTATCGTTAATTTATGTTTCTATATCTTTGAAGTTAGTCAATGGTATGTAACTCTACGTACGTCTGACTCGCACTTGGCTGTTTTGTGTGATATAGGGCAGATAGACAGTGAAGATAATAGGGCTTCTTTTTTTGACGGATTTGGAATCTTAACACCTGCGCAAGCCAGAAAGCTATGCAATATCATAGTTGCTATGAATACAGAAACAATAAAAAAATATAATGTTATCACCAAAAGAAAATTAAAAATATAAATTTAATTTGAAGAAATTACAAAAAAAATGTAGCGATAATCGGCAGCGTTGTCGCTAAAAAGCGATTCTAAAAGAAGAAATCGCTATAAAACAATAAAAATTGAGAATAAGGGTAACACTAGAACGCATGTGACTAGCTGTGCCCACGACTTCATCCGAGGTGAATAGTTGCTTTGTTCATCAAAATTTTTATTATATTATAGCCTTCCTAGATAAATTGTCAATCGAACACAAAAATATTTTTTCCATTAGAACCAGTGGTTCGTGAGATTAGCGCGTTCAAACAAGAAACATATAAACTCAATAGCTTTATAATATTCGTGTAGACTA